TTGTCCTGCTTATGTTCATATTCCTGCTGATGAGAGGTCAAAACTTGATGCTAAATCAAAGAAGTGCACTTTTCTGGGCTATAAGAAAGGTGTGAAGGGATACAAGTTTTCGGATCCAGTTGAGAAGAAGACGGTGATTAGTAGAGATGCGGTGTTTGATGAACAACCTATGTTGGGATCAGATGCAGATAAGGTACAGGTGGAGTTGGAACATGTTCCAGCAGTTCTTGATAAGGGAGAGAGTTCGAGTTCTGCACCTAATGATGTTGATCATGATGTTTCTGGCCCAACTGATGTGCCAGAGAGCTACAAGTTAGCTCGGGATAGAGTGAGGCATACCAATATACAAGCTCCGGTCAGGTTTGGTTATGAAGATATGGTCGCATTTGCTCTTACGATCACTAGTGTGGATCCTTGTACTTTCCAGGAGGCTGTTTCTTGTGAGAACAGTGATAGATGGAAGGCTGCCATAGAACAAGAGATGAATTCTGTACATAAGAATCAGACATGGGAGTTGGATGTTCTTCACAAAGGGAAGAAAGCTATTGGTTGTAGGTGGATTTACACAAGGAAGTCATCGGTAACAGAAAAAGTAGGGGAAAGGTTCAAGGCTCGATTGGTGGCTAAAGGATACTCACAGCAAAAGGGGATTGACTATGATGAGTCATTTTCCCTTGTGGTTAGACATACTTCGATCAGGGTTATACTTGCATTGGTGGCTAGTTGGGATTTGCATTTGGAGCAGATGGATGTGAAGACTGCTTTCTTGCATGGTGATCTCGTAGAGCCTATTTACATGCAGCAGCCAGAGGGCTTCGTTCAACCAGAGAAGAAGCATTTATTTTGCAGGTTGAAGAAATCCTTGTATGGCTTGAAGCAAGCATCGCGGCAGTGGAATATACAGTTTGATTCGTATATGGTGAAGATTGGCTACAAGCGTTGTGATTTTGATTGTTGTGTTTACACTAAGAGCCTTGGTGATGGTTCTATGATTTTTCTGTTACTTTATGTTGATGACATGCTTATTGCTGCCAAGAATATGCGTGATATTATTGATCTGAAAAGCCTTTTGAGTCAGGAATTTGAGATGAAGGATTTGGGGGCTGCGAAGAAGATTCTTGGGATGGAGATTCACAGGGATAGAGGATCAAAGAAGTTGTGGTTATCTCAGAAGGGTTATGTGGAGAAGGTGCTACAGAGGTTTGGGATGAATGAAGCAAAACCGGTGAGCACTCCATTAGCAAACGACTTCAATCTTTCTGTTGATCAGTGCCCCAAGTCGGACAACGAGACTCACGATATGGTGGAGATACCTTATGCCAGTGCTGTTAGATGTCTGATGTATGCCATGGTATGTACTCGTCCTGATTTGGCTCATGCTGTTGGTCAAGTTTGCAAGTATATGTCAAGGCCGGGTAAACAGCATTGGGAGGCAGTCAAATGGATTTTCAGATATTTGAAAGGTACTGCGGGACATGGTATTGTATTTGGAGATCAGCGGTTGGATCCTTTGGTTGTAGGATATGTGGATTCTGATCATGCTGGGGACTTGGATAATAGGAGATCTACCACTTGGTATGTCTTCACTTTTGGTGGAGGGCCTATTTGTTGGAGGTCGAATACTCAGCCTATAGTTGCTCTATCTATAACTGAAGCTGAGTATATTGCTTTGGCTGAAGCGGCAAAGGAAGCAGTGTGGCTTGCTGGATTGGTTAGAGAGTTGGGTACTAAGCAAGGTGGAGTTCTAGTACATTGTGATAGTCAGAGTGCCATTTATTTGGCTAAGAATCAGATATTTCATGCTAGGACGAACCATATTGATGTGAGGTTCCACAAGATTAGGGAATAGATTGCTTCTGGTGATATTCAGTTGGAGAAAGTTCATACTGAAGAGAATGCTGCTGATATGTTGACTAAGACTGTTACTTATGACAAATTCAAGCATTGCTTGGATTTGTTGAATGTTTCTGCATGGTAGAGTTGCATTGTACCCCCGGCCTGCTTTGTGTGTCTTGCAGAGGTGCTCACTATTGTGTTCTCCTAAGGAGGTGATATATTCGCCAAGGTGGAGATTTGTTGATATGGCTCATATATTGACAAAGGAAGGAGGCAGGTTGATGCCTGCGAGTGTAACGGAGCAAACGTAGCGAGGGAAGCGGAGCGACCGAGCGAAGTGAGCGGAGTGGAGCGAGCAGGCATCGGCCCTTGTTGGGCTGGGTCGATTAGTTGGGCTGGGGGTGCGGGGGCAGAGCCCCCGCGGTACGGTACGGGGTATTTAAGTAAATTAATACCTTGTAGGGTTATAGAATAAATACATGGTGTATTGATGTATTTGAGACTATTGAGAATAATAAAGATCCCTCAGCCGCCGTGGACGTAGGCATATTGCCAAACCACGTAAATCTTGTGTTGTTTACTTTTCTCGTTTTTAATTCGTATGCTATATTGTCATCTTCACTCAACACAAATGCACATTAACGAGATTGAGAATGCACATTAATTTGAATGTTCGCATATATTAAAAGTTTAGTTATTTCAGTCTTGATTCGACTCTATTTAAAAGATAATAGAATAATTTTATGTTATATATATACATATTATTTATTTCAAGCACACAAGAATATACAATATTAAATAAATAAAAAGTGATGAATACTAAACATTTTTTATTGTATAAAAAATTTTAGAAATACATAATAATGTTAATTAAAATACACATTACTAAAATTTTTAACATTCAAATGCACATAAAATTACCCACTCGACTGACTGCACATTAATGTTGGATTGAATGCACATTAGTGTCTATGGATATGCACATTATCGATTCTTGTTTTTAAATTATTTCTTTTCACGAAATTAATTTAAGAATATTAAAATAGTATGCATTTTTAATGTAAAAAATAAATTCTTTTGAATATTTCGAGTAATTCGGTTAACCGACCCGATAAACCCAGTAGTTTGTTTAGTTACGTTTTGGTTTGAGACGAACGATCAATAGGTGCAGACTGCACATTAGCGACTGAATTAGTGCACAATAACATTAGACGAATTGCATATTAATGAATGTCATATGGAACGATACCGATGTCAACTTCAATAATAATAATAAAAAAAAAAAAATCAAACCATAAAAAATTATCATTTTGTAATATATATTTTTCACATTCATTTTTTTTTATGCACGTATTGTACATTTTAATTGGTTTTATTCTTCATTTATTATTTTTTTTATAATTTATGTACTTCACAAAAGAATTAATTAATACTATATAACATGCCCATAAATCCAATCAGCATCCCCGCCACTTCTTCACAGCCACACCTTCACCGTATTGCCGCCGGCAGGAATCCTAATCAGTAAAGTTGTTTACATCATCCTGCCAAGGCGAGGAACTGGCGGAGATTTTTCAGTTAAGAGGCCGAGTGGTGGTTGTCACGGAGGTATTCGCTAGAATCTTAGCATCGGGCGGCGGAGCTTCAATGGAGGGAAGGAATTGTGGACGACAATTGTCTCAGGCTACGGTCGGTGACGGCAGACGGCAGCAGGGGCGGAGCCACCCTAAGGCTAGGGTGGGTTCCAGCCCCATGTAATTTTTTGCTACTCTTATTTTTGCTAATCCTATTTTCTAAAAAAAAATTATACATAAACCTATTAGCCCCATATAATTTATTATATAGCCCTCATTTAATTTTTGGGCTGAATGACTCAAGATTATCTTCATGTTAAAATTTGTTATCTCACAACAATGGTGGAAAAATGATGATTATAGTGAGGAAAGAAGATAATCATTTATTGTCAAATGACAATTGTGACCTTATTAGATTTTTATCAGTTGAGTTTATAATGTGGCCCAACACACTCTTGTCTTTTAAATTTTTAATGGGTTGACTTGACAAATATCAAATGAGCTGGAAAATTAAGCTTGACACAGACTTCTCCAGCAAACTATTTAATTCGATTCTTCTCATTCCACAGTCCGTTATCCATTTTAATTTATTTTTTTCTTTCGCCTCTAATAATTAATTCGACATCATTTCCTAGACAAAGAGAAAACTCGTACAAAGTTGATTGCAAACATGTTCGACTTTATTTGTTTGATCGACAAGTTCGATTAGCTATTTGAGTTTGACTTGTTTAAATATATAAACGATTCGAGATTGAGTTTTTCCAATTCAAACTGACAAATGTTAGCAGATAATTTGTTTATAATCATAACCAAAACCAGTTACAGGCCGAAACCGTCGATACCGGGCCGAGAGTTGGAGGACCCTGAACCGACGCAAACATATGTACGGGTCAGTTCATTGAATTGTCGATTACTGGTCGCCCGGTTCATTAAAAAAATACAAAATAATTAGAATAAAAATTAAAAAAAAAAGAACTTCGGGTTCCGGTTCCAGTTCAGAACCAAAACTGCATGTTCAAAATGTATAAACTATAAATTATTGTACATGAACCGAACTGGTTAAAACCACGAGTTTGTTCAAGACCCATTGTCAACGGGTCAGCTTGTGTCGGTTTGGGCCGAACCGACATGCTGGGTCGGCCCATGACTATGTCTACAAGGTTCCAATAATTGCTACAATAATATGCGGCCCCAGGTTAAAAAAAATTCTGGCTACGCCCCTGGACGGCAGACTGTGGCTACTTGGTTGTTTTCGGCGGCAGAGCATGTTGTGAATGTTGACTCAGCTCGTGACAACGGCGGGGCAGGTTGTTGATGGTGGCTCGACTCCTGACGGCAGCGGGCTATGGTGGCGATGTTAACTTGATCTGCCAAGCTTGTAGCAACGGGCTATGGTGGCAGTGCAGCGGAGGTATTTTGCAGAGTGGGGGTATTTTGCGTGAGCATGAGAGAGAAAGTGGGTGGAAAGAGATGGGTAGATAGTGGGATGAGATAGTGGTAGGGCCCACTTGATTATGTAATGTCTAATTTGCCCTTATTTATTGGTAAAATGTATAAATTTGACCAAGATATGTATCCTTATTTACAAAATTGTCATAGCATGTTGGACTACTTTTTATTAATTTTGACTTGATCATGACCTTTGACTTGATGAATCTAATGGTCCACATTTATTATTATTTCTTTCATTGTCTACCCTCATTTAGCACACTTCTATAAATGTGTGTATTAATTTACTGCAATGCCATTAATAAATGAACAAAATTTGACTTCACCATAACCATTGATATGATAAATTTAATGATCCAGATTCATTCTTATTTCTTTCATTGTTCTCCTTTCTCATTTAGCACACTTCTAAATATATGAAGTCAAATTAAATATATCATATCAATATTTAAGATATAGTCAAATTTTGTTCATTTATTAATGACATTACAGTAAAATAATACACACAATGAGGTAGGGCTGTAAACAAATCAAACATTTTTTATTCGATTCGTGATTCGAATTCGATATTCGTGATTCGAATTCGAATATTTCGAATTCAAATGATGTTTTAGATGCGAAATTATAACGAATTCGAATCCGAATGTGTAGATATTCGATTCGAAATTTGATTTTTCGATTCGTTAACAATAATTATATAAATTTTACAAATTATATATAATATACATTTTGTTTATAATATATGTATATATATGTATATATTGATATATTCCTAATATTTTTATGATATAAAAATTAAAAACATCACAAATTAACAAATTTTTCTAAAAATATATGAAAAATAAAATTTATTTTTGTAATTATAATATTTTTTAATTATAATATTTTTATACAAATTATATATAATATATATTTTGTTTATAATATATGTATATATATATTGTTATATTCCTAATATTTTTATGACATAAAAATAAAAACATCATAAATTAACAAAATTTTCTAAAAATATATGAAAAATAAAATTTATTTTTGTAATTATAATATTTTTTTGAAAACGAATTTCGAATCGAATCGAATATGTTCGAATATTCTAAACGAATAGAATACAAATCAGAAAATGAATTCGTTATCGAATCGAATCACGAATCAAATCTTCGAATATTTTAAACGAATCGAATCGACTCTCTGAGTATTCGCTTTGATTCGATTCGTTTACAACCCTACAATGAGGTCAAATGTTATCAATTAAAGGTAAATTAGACTTCTTGTAACAATCACAATCACAATCACAATCACAATCACACTCACAGGTGGGACCCACCACCATCACCTTCTAACCCTTATTTCCCTCAAGCTAATGTCTGAGTCCAACCAGCACGTCGCCGCCTGGTAACCGCCGGTGGCCATCTGTAGCTCTTTCTCTTTGTCTCGTTCTCTACAAATCTCATAGAACCTTGAGCCGCCGATGAACCACGTCTTTGCCGCAGCCCACTGCCACCAGCTCGTCCGCCTTCCACCACCGCTGACACCATCCTTAATTTTCTCCGTCGATCGACCACATAACACACACACATTCATACAGATTATGTGTCGTCCGCCGCGAACGATCCCATCGCCGGAGTTGAGCAAGTGGACGATAGACAAATTTTTTCCCCTTATTCGCGGCTGAGGAAGCAGATTAATGGAAGGGGTTGCAGAGAAAGCCAAATTTAGGAGTAAGTCTTAGGCGATGACGACAACTTTGTGATTATGGTGGCGGTAACGGGGGCAGGCGGGTAGTGGCTCTGG